CATGAACAGGATGTCCAGTGTAATTATCTTTAGGGATAAAATCCAGAGGGCAAAGGTTGTGAAGAACTTCTAGCATCCAACAGCCATGTAAAACTTGCACCTGCTTGAGTTGGATGTTTGTGTGGAGAAGCTCTGAAATCTGTCAGAGCAATTATTTCTTCCRCACAAATAATGCTGATGGACTTATGGATATTGTGGGTGCTTGTGCAATAAGGCAATGAGATAACAACTTTAAATGAATTCTGGAAGGAAAAAGAAATGTAATGAAAAAAAAATAAAAGGAAGATGCAAACTTTACRAGTCCTGGGTAATCTTTAATCAGTTGGTTTCATTGCTAGGAAGTAATTACAGTACCATTGTACTAGAAAAGCAATATGTAATCTGTTTGTATGCTTTATGTAAATTTGTTTTGCATGTAGTGCTTCATAGGCTTTTTTTTAAAATGACTATGCTTTCAACAATAATTTTTAAACCTCCAGATAGATGCCGTTTTGTAAATATTGTCATCTCTCAAGAATAATTTTCAAAAATGAAACTAAGAGTGTTAATAGGGGCTACTGTTTTCTTAGGAAGAGCTCTTCAAGCAGGGTTGTGGTTCTGTCAGTCAGCGGAGCAGCTCTGCCTCCATGGCAGTGGCAGACAGGCACATTCTGTAAACTGAGACTGGCTATGCCAGAAAGATAGTGAAGCACTCCAGTTTGCAAAAAAAACCCCACTTTTCGTGTCTTTGTTTCGAGTCACTGGCGCTGAGAATTGAGAAAGGAGGGAAAATATGGGTATCATACGGGATGAATGTTAAGTACACTTGTCCAAGTCAGCTTTCAGCAAATGCTGCCTCCCTTCTCTCTCTTCAGCTCCAAGAGCTTGGGCAAGATTAGCAATATTTGCAAAATTGGTATTGAAAACAACAGTAAACATGCAGTTGCCGGACAGTAACCTGGTTTTGCATGGCCTTTTTTTTTTTTTTTTTTTTTTTTTTTTAAAGTTTATGTTTAGCTATGCTTTTTGAAGACAGGAATACTGTCAGTTTCTTTTAACAAAAGAGATCAACTTTAAAGGGCTACTTTTTTTTTAACCCCATTTTAGGAAAGCTCAGTAATTTTTTTATTTACTTACACTATATACACTGATTTTGTAAGTTTAGAAATCTCAATTATTATAATCTGCTCACCYACTAATCTGATGAACAAGTGTTAGTATGCAGTGACTTTAAGTCATATGAGAAGATGATGTTTTTCTCAATTAAATAATCTTTTTCTATCCACTTCACTTACTTTCTACTGTTGTCCCCATAAATTTCCTCCCAAAACTAGAGAGAGACATTGCTGCATTTCTATGGATTATTTAGAAAAGTTTCCTTCCACTAAGAATAAAAAAATATATATTTTGGACAGTATTTGTTAATGTAGGCATGCAGATAAAAATGTCTACCTTTTYCCCTACATTTTATATTAAAGCTACTGTTGAAATTCTCCCCATAAATTGTTTTAACAAAGGATGGAACCAATTTTGATGTGTTTGTATAGCTTAGTCTAACTTCTAGGGGACGTAAATGTTGCGGTGGGCACGTAACAAGGGTGTGGGCAGAGCTWTCAGAAGAATATTTCTAAATTTGTTTGACTTGAAAGAATTCTTTCTCTTTTTTTTAAATACAACTTCACTTAACATTTGCATTCAATATTAAAACTGGAGACTGTAAGTGGTAATACTGCACTGGAAATGGATGGGATTAAGGCAGAAAAGGATGAAAGAGGGGCTGAAGGCAAACTTAGCTTACTGCACTTTGTGGTGTGCAATGCATTCCTTTATTTTCCTTTTTCTTGGAGTGCTTGAKATTTTCTTCATTTGTTTCATCCCAAAGAAGCCTCATTTAGATTTTTTCTGGATAAAAAGCAAAATTTTCCCTTGAGTTTGTTTTCAAGCTCTCTGCTTTGCTCATCAGAAGTCTGCAATTGCAGGAGTTCAACGAGGTTCTCTGAAGTTCAGATTTATCTGTGTTYAGTGGTAAAAGGTGTTTGCCTTTTTCTGTGGGGCAGGAAAATGCCAGGAAGATTTAACACCCAACTTTCCCAGTCTGGAGTTTGCAAACTGAGCCCCGTAGGTGCACAGAAATTCTCATGGTCCGTTCTGTTGGGTATTTTTTCCTTGGTGAGGATTGTGTTTCTTTTCTTAGAAGGGTGAAATCCTTTTTCTGAATAATTCCTGTGGTATCAAGAAATCGAATGAGTTCTGTCATTTTTCAATTTAATAATTTCTCCTCAGTCTCTTCTGTAGCTATATTGCCTGCCTGAGGGTACCAGAAACCTTAATTTCACTGTTTTATAACCCACAACAGTTAACACTTGACCCAGGTCATTAACAGGATTATCAGCAAATTTGTTTAAGCTTTTACTGACAACCTGAATTGCTTCAATAATATTTTGACTGTGCAGACAGGAAACTTCTTGTAACCTCTCAATCTAGCATAAAATTAATTTCTTGTGAACACAGCTACCAAAAGATCAATACGGGAAATTTGCTTACAGTACTTGGTTTCAAACAGTGCCTGTTTTGGGTTTACAGTAAGAAGGTTCCAGTCAGCCTCTCTTTTCAGTCTCTATCAGATTTGGAGATGCAGTTTCATCTTTCGTTCCTTGATTGCCATCTCAGAACTTTGCAWAACTGCGTGATTAAATGCACCATTTTTATCTGAGCTGGTCTCTGCTAACACTTAAAGTTGCTAAAGACAATTGACTGTGCCTTGGTAGTCGGGACAGCTCTTAGTGTGGTTTTGAAAAATGTGCTGCTTGCACATGGAACACAACGCTTGCCCAAGTCTTGCGTGTGATTTTGGGAAAGGCTGGCAATACCAGGAGCTTTTCGATAGAATCAGAAGGGGAAAATGCTTTTTACACATCTTTGCTTATGTCAAGTATCRTTAGGTCAGGGTAAGTCTTCATTTCTTGTGACACAATTCCTGCTGGCGCCCCTGGCTTGCAATTGAGTGTTTATCTGCAGAGGAAGTTAAAAGTAGGTTTAGAAGTCTTAATGCGATACCTTTGAAAGTTCAGTTTCAGAAAGCTCAGAGTCATGGGGGGCTAGAGGGCTGTTTTTCATACTGCTGTATCTTAATTAAAGCTTCTGTGCCGAATCCTAAACTGTATGATTAGACAAGTAATAAACATGTTTTAAAATTCACACCATGATGGTTTTAAAACCAGGAGAAGTTAGGTAAATTTTCTGTCTGCATTTTTGATAATGGGGTGTAACATGGAATAACTTATTTTCTTTGCTATTTGTCACTGGGCTTTTTCTTGACTTGTTGCTGTTTCAGTATAGTGTGTTAAAGAGAAAAATCACTACATTGGCTACAGCAAACTTAAAGCAGGTGTTTGAAACACAGAGTTGTGCAAATTGGACACAGCAATTAATTCTTATTGCAGTTAATTTGGGTACAACATATTTGCTGCCCAACGAAGCACTCAGGGCAGAGAAATGGGTCAGAACTCTTCTGTGCTCTCAGCTTCAGCAAAGAGGCACCACCAGATGGGCAAACATGAAACAGATAATAGGCACAYCAAGTTTAACAGTTGTTTACATAAAATCTTTGCAAATCAGGGAGTGTATTCTGATTGTACTTCAATTTTTCCATTCTCATCTGGGAGGACGAACAAATTAGTTTTAATTTTTTTTTTTAATTATTATCTGTTGGAGTTAGGTAAATTGCTATTAGTAYACTTGCTTTCTGATTCTGTTCGAGAACTTGCGAGTTTTCCTCTAGGAAAATGTCTATAATTGCTCTAGTTGTTGTAATCCCYTCTTGATGAAAGTTTAGAAATACGGATGCAGGTGTTCATTTTCTTGTTTTCAGAGCTCTGGATTTTATCACCAGTGAGGGTCACTACAGAGCTGTTACCAAATACCACAGTCCTGTTTGTGGAGTTTTATACAGAGCCTGAGTTCGCTCCACAAGATACCTGTAACTTGTGAAGCTTTGTAGCTGCTGTTTGATTTTTCTTTAAAAGAAAATAAAAATAAATTACTGGGCAGTAATCATGTCCTTACTTATGGTGAAGTTTAAAACTCTGCACAGTGAAGCTGGCATTGGAACTCAGAGGGTAATTTTGATACCCTAAGGTGCAAAATTGAGTGGGTGTTTCCAGTGGGTGTTTCAGGGGTGGGGCAGAGGTCTTTCACTAACCCACTGCCTTTCTAAAACACCATTCCAGCATCCAAAGACTGTTCTTTTTCTGGAATTTTCTGTTTTTACCTTCCTTTTGCATTTTTAGATTTGTTGAAGCRTTGTTGAAAATACATTTACGAGGAGGAAAAGACTTGCCGTAAGAAATGATAGGGTGAAATAAAATATTTTTACTTGTTTACAAAAGCATCTGACTACTGTTAAATGATCCTTTTCCCTAAAAATTCACCACAGTGGAGTGACCCTTATTTCTGTAAACACTTTAAAGCGGTAGCTTTTTTTTTTAAAAAAAAAAAACAAAACCACATATTTCAACCGTTCTAAACAAGAATCAAAACTTTTAAAAGAAAATAACTTAATTCAGAAGATTAGATATGAACTCCCAGGAGTAATTTTGGGAGCAGAGTGCGGTAGCAATTTGTCAGTTTAGGATTGTATTCCTCAACAGTAGTTTTGTGTTTTTTAGTTTCTTAGGTGCTTGCTCAATCMGAGTGTAAGTACTCATTTTGCAGTGTGAAACAGATGCAAGATTAATTCAGTCCCTTAAACTGAAAGTTCCTTTCAAATTTCTGCAGTGAATGAATGAAAGAAATAAAGATGTAGAAATGAAGATAATCCTGCCTGAAAGAAAC